ACACGGGCGGGGAGAGCCTCGAAAAAGGCAGTCGCCTCTTTGCACGGCGAGTCCGGGGCTTATTGAGGATTCCCTGGAGGGCTCAGGCCCTCTCCTCTTCATCAAGCAGCAGCTGACGATGCATATTTTACATGAGAGAGGAAGGGAGATTCTCTTGTATAAATACACGTAACAGCGCTGAAGAGTGCGCGTGTCCCGAAGTGTTACTACAAACTCTTGTCTTGGGTCTTTTTTTTTTTTCTTTTTCATTGTAACTTTAAACTTTGTAAATGTTTGCTTGGCTCTGAATTTATGCACAGTGACTTTCCCTGGGGTTTTGGCTCTGGACTTGCTAAGAGAAAGCTAGAGATACACTTTATCGTGTTAGCCGGCACGCTGAAATCCTCAGGTAGACCAAGCAAGTTGTCACGTTTAATCGAGCACTTAGGATTTATGTTAATGAATTAACAGGAGTTGAAGCTTTGCTTTGCCTTTGTGAAGGGTCTTAATTTCTCTTTGTTAACATTTGTATTTGCACCAAATTAGCATATTGGGGATAAAGGCTGCAGAAACTCTCAGGCAGATGAGGAGGAACAGGTCCCTGGTTCCCTTTGCATGGGTCGAGGGTGGGTTGGTTTGGGTTGAGGCAGCACGCACCCCTTCTCTGAGTGTGGGAGCCAGCGGGGCTGGCCTGGCCCCTCCACGTTTTGGAGGTGCTCTGGGGACAGAAGGTAAACCTGATTACATGTCTAGGACAGGTTGAGGTAAGATGCTTCAAGCATTCACATGAGGGAAGTGAAGGAATGAACGTACCCCAAAGGAGTTGCCCCTACAACAAAGTAAGAGGCCAACCTGCAGGTGACGTACATCTAACACACGGATGAGAGAGCAGAGTGGTAAGTGGGGGTGGGACTCAGAGCCAAGCTGAAGCTCTAAGCTTATGTTTGCACTGATGAATTAAGCTCTCTGTAAAGTTTTGTGTCCGCTGCTCAGCTTCATGGTGCCCATCTTCAGACATCTTAAGCTGGAGCAACAGTGGTGCTTGCTGACCCTTGCAGCTCAGCTGGATTTTAGAATCATAGAATCACTTTAGTTGGAAAAGACCTTTAAGATCATCGAGTCCAACCTTTTGGGATTGTCTTGCTACATCTTTCCTACTCTTCTTTCCGTAATGTGTCTATGACTTGCTCTTTTGCATCTGCAGCCAGCGTGCTCAGAGAGCATCCTCCCCTTTTAATTCTTTCCTCCCCCCCGTGGAAGTAGAGAACAGCTTTACCTTTGCCAGAGCATGTGCTGCTTTCTTGGTCGCAGAGGTGCTGAAAGTTACAGCCGTGTGCTTCTAGACCCGGCGAAGCTGCCCGGTGACGAAAAGGCCTCTTAGCTTTGCTGGCATGCATCTCCACCCGGTGTTTTGAAGCTTTGCAACTTCTATTGCAGCTGGCTTTGCTGCTGTGATTGCTCCGGGCCCGGTGCTAGTGATTTGAGATACTGCCAGGGCATCCTAATTTTTACATAAACACATGCTTAGTGATTAAGACAGGAGTTTAAGTTACGATATGCCTTGAAAACCCATTTTTGAAACGTGGCAAGAGGCATGCGTAACGTGGGGACCACCCTAGTAGCAGCTCTAATATTGAACTGAAATTACCGGGTCATGAGCTAGACAACTTAAAAGTAGCCTTGCCACTCACTTCTAGTTTCCTTTCCGATTTTTATGGTTTTACAATTTTCCTAGTATTGCTTAGCTCTTGGTTGTTGGCTAAAGGACCTCATGGACAAAAAGGAAGACTGAAGTACCAGCCCCAACAAATCAAAATTAGCTTTGCTGTCCTGGTGGAGCATAGTATCTTGTAGGATAAGATCTAATCTTACAGATTTAGCCAAATGCCTTAAAATCTGCACCTGGATAAGCTTTTTGCAGAGTCAAGGCCCTCCTGTATCTGCAGGGTGGAAAATGGAAGTGATGGCATAAAGGTAAACTCCAAACTAGCGTGTGTGTGTGTAAATGCTTAAATCTCTTTTGGATATGAGGTGTTAGCTGGAAGAACAGCGGAAAACTGAAAATCCTAAAACTTCAGTCGAAAATTCTTTTCCTTCAATTGAAATAACTTTCTGTCGGATTTTTTTTGTTGCTGATTGCAACTGCATTGGCTGTAATGGAAATAAATTACAGCAGAGTAAATCTTTCCTCATCTCACTTTAAAACTGATCTCTCCAACGTGCTCTGTGTTTTAGAGCTGACTTTCAAATTCCGTCCTCTTTCAAAGTGGTCCAGCGTTTGTGGCAGATATTTACAGCCGGCGTATAATCACCTTCTTGTCTGACGATTATCCCTATCAGGTCCCCTGCAGACAGCCTGGCATGAGCTGTCACTGTCCACGGGGCTCCGAGGATCCGTGCCAAAATACACCAGCTGAGGATATGAAGAGCCCACTCTTCAAATCATGTCCGCATCGTTAACTCTCCTGCTCACTGGGGAGCTGCCGGGTTGGCCGCTGGTGTTTTGCTGAGCTTCTCTCATCTCTTGCTTTCCCTGAGATTTTTGGAAAGGTCGCCAATCCAGCTACAAAGAGCATCCTTGAACCAATGGTTCACAGGCTCTGGTTTGGGCTGCTTTTCATCCCACCCATGGGGCAGCGGCTGCCCTGGTGGCACTTTTCTAACAACACCTGAGTGACTGCAGCGCGTCGGGGCTCTGTTTATCTGTTACTTCCACTCCAGCTGTCCGCTGACGCTATTGATTGTGGAATTGTTTTAAAAAGGCTGAATTTGTATAAAAGCTTATTTGGTCCTCCACCAGCCTTGTTCAGACCTCACATATCCTCATCCTGACAGATTTATTGCTAGAGGTCCCTACGTTTCTAACATATCTCACATTGCCAGTGCAAATTGTCCGAAGAGTCCAGCTGGGCTTCATTTTACTAGTATTCATGTGAATCCTTCGGGGTGGTACCGGTTGCGCTCCAGGACCACAGCGTTGTGTGCGAATGGCGAGCAGCAAGCTCTGTTGGACAGGCAGGCGATGGGACATGGCCGGCGTGGGGTGGCCGAGCGGGACATGGCCGGCGTGGGGTGGCCGAGCGGGACATGGCCGGCGTGGGGTGGCCGAGCGGGACATGGCCGGCGTGGGGTGGCCGAGCGGGACATGGCCGGCGTGGGGTGGCCGAGCGGGACATGGCCGGCGTGGGGTGGCCGAGCGGGACATGGCCGGCGTGGGGTGGCCGAGCAGCACGTGCCTGTGTGTCCAGGGGGTGTTAGCAGCACCGCTTCTGCTGGGGGTGCTGCCAAGCCCCCATCCCACACTCAGACTTTCGGACACTGCGTCTCTAAGGGTTGATGGGATGGGTTTTGTCTTGACTTTTGCTGTGAGAGTTGTTGTAAACTGAGAAGCGACGTTTCTATGGTGTTGTCTTTGGATGCCAGGCCCTTCATGCTATTTATATTGGAGGGTTTCCTTTTAGTTAATCCCTTTTTTTGATGGCTTCTTTCTCCCTTCACAAGTTCTTGTGTTTTACTCTGTCGCCTCATATATTGCTTTTCTTGTTGCATGCACGTTGCGCTTGCATTTCAAGTAGCTTTTCAGACTACTCCTAGGACAAAAGCACGTCATATCCAAAGTTTTATAGTACTAAAGGCCTAAATCACACCTGCAGAGGCTTCTCTTAGGCCCTGCTGAGTTTCCAGGGCAAATCTGTGACAAACTAAATCAGAATTCCTTGGCTTGAATATCTGTTAGAGGGTTGCAGTTGATTCTTGATAGGACAGCACAGTCCAAAAGGACAATCCCTTTTGTTTCTGGCTAACACAGAGCAAAGTGCTTTGGCTGCATTAAATTTTTATCTTTTTGAGAAAAGGATCACACTAACTGAGAAAAGATATTTATTCTTAGGAGACCCCTGCTCCAGGACGTTGATCCTTCTCTTTTTAGCGTCACACAAAAGTTTGAGACTTCATGGATATCTAGTGGGATGTTGGCATCGGGGTTTCAGAAAGTGACTTGATCAACTGCATGATCTAATCAGTAACGCTGACTCCTCTGTTAAATCACGTCATGTTGTATCATTAATTTTTTATACCCCGTATAAATGAGTTTGCTGCTTTTCGTGGCTGGGAGCTAGAATGAGAAGTATTTGGTAGATTGGAGGCAGGGGGCTGTCCATTCACAGGGTCAACATGATGAAACCATTCATGAGATGAACACGTTGTTTCTTGTGCACTATATATGATCTAATAAGGCAAGAAGTGAAATGTTTCGTGGCCTGTTAACCACGCTGGATAATACACAGCAAGGCATAAAAAGCTGGGTGCAGAATTTGGCACAAAAGAATCTTTAACTTGTCGTTGTGGTTTAACCCCAGCCAGCAACTGAGCCCACCCAGCCGCTCGCTCGCGCCCTGCCCGTGGCGTGGGGGAGAGAATTGGGAGAGTAAAAGTGAGAAAGCTCGTGGATTGAGAGAAAGACTGTCTAATAGGGATAGGGAAAGCAAAAGGCGTGTGTGCCAGCAAAGCAAAACAAGGAATTCCTTCCTTCCTTCCCATGGGCAGGGAGGTGCCCAGCCAT